ATACACAAATCGTAAGTGAGATGAGTGGTCACTGTTTACCCAGTCTGTAACAAAGTAACAATATGAACTTGTGACAGAAGGGTCGCTCGTTCTCCGAGTGGTGGCGACCCATGTGTTTGTTTTAACGTGGCACTCGGTCTTCCTCGTCTGATACATTTAGTTTTATTGTCACCTTTGCGCAAATCAGCAACAAAATAAAAATTAGAAACAAAATACAAACCGACAACAACAATGCGGCCACTTTCGATTGGGACCTCAGAATGATGGGAACGGTTTGTTTTCTTCATCTTGATCAGTCCTGCCTAAGACGGCCACATGTCTTATACGGCCACTTTTCTCCTTGATAATGGATGGCCGTCTTACACAGGTTTGACTGTACTTTGTGTTTAGACAACTTTTCGCAGACCCAGGTAACATATCTTTCACTAGTAGAATGCAGGCTCACTTTGGGCATTTAGACAGGACAAAAAACACAATTTATAGCTGATATAACAAAGTTGAAGTGTGTTGAGTTTGTGCATGGAGTGTCAGTCTGGTAGGACCACAATCACATTGTCATTATTTTGATCTATATTTTTTCTATTCATCAAAATATATTCATCACCCTTTGGAAATCAAAAGAAACTCAGATTTTGATTTTATTAGGTGCAGTTTAAAGCAGAACACCATTGACACTTCGTGCTAAACGGGGCCACGCTTGTCTGTGATCAACGAAAATGGACGCAGTTTGTTTTGTTTACCGCGCGTTTCTCCACGATCAGCTGGTGACCCAGATACGCGCATCCGGGCGAAGTGTCATCTCTCTAGTATTACTGTAAACTCTCTGATTGCCCCAACCACGGGACAGAAGAAGAAGAAGAAACTGGGTATTGCATTGAGGGGAGGGGGGGGGGGCTGTTGGTTATTGGTTCATCTTTGTAGCCACATGTTCTACGAGGTCTGTCTCAGAATAAAGTTTCCCTCCTCCTCCTCCATTAAATCAAAAGTACGCAACCAACAGCCAGGGCCGCGTTAACTAAGTGCGGGGCCCTAAGATGTCCATGAGCCGCGGGGCCCCCCGATGACGTTGATGCTACTACATTTACTACCGCATAGTAACCCCGTACTGATCGAAAGCTATACTGTAAAACGTGATTAGGTGTAGGCCTACTGGTATCCAGCAATAATGTGGATTAAGACGACGACAAGCACATTTATAGATCTATTTCTGTTACAAAGTATGAGGCAGCCGAAACCTATCCGGGCTTGTTTACTTCGTGGTGGTTTACTTCATCTAAACACATACACAACAGATTATAAAAACTCATACCTTATATTTTTCTCCTGGCTTTTTGCAGGGCAAATGCCTCGATGATGTCCTCAAAGTCTAGACATTTTGTCGTTTCAGATTCAATCGTCAAGAGAGCTAGGCCGCTTAGTTTCTCTTGTCCCATCGTTGAACGCAGTCTACTTTTCACTCGTTTCAGTACGGAGAATGATCTTTCACCCTCTACGTTGGCGATAGGCATGGTGAGAAAGAGCCTCAGTGCGATCTCTACATTTGGGAAAGCTGATGTTGCACCACTTTCGCGCAGATCTTGAAGGAGCCGGGGAGGAGAAAGTGTATCCTCAGACTGAAATGCTGAGTTGACATATTCTGAATACGACACTAGTTCGTCAGGAAATGATGGCTCTAGGTCGTCCTCACATTGCTGCTGAATGCGAGATGCTGCGTCTCGAATGCTTGTGGCAGGCTTCTTCTGAAGATAAAAGAGAAGGTCAAAATCTTGAGTCAGAGTCTTGTAGATGTCTCCTTGCTTTTCAAGTTCAGACAAAAGGCAGTCAACGATGACAAGGAAGGTGTTTATTCTAAACTGCTCCCGGTGCAACAAAACAGCTTCAACATCTTTCATTTCGTCGTGGAAGCGCTTGCGTTTTGCAATGCGTTTGTATTGGTAGGAAGGCTCTTCGACGAAAGGTGAGGCTGATTGTTCGATTCGCTCGAAATCGTCTCGAAGTCATGTTAAGAAAGCAGTTAGAGAATCGTACAACATGTTAACGACTCCCAGGTTGAGTGGTGGTTTCTGAAGTGTTTTGCTGACAGTGTTAAAGCGTGCCAGAACTTGTTCCTAAAACAAACACAGCCCAGTAAATTCAAAATTGTCCATCTTGTTGTGCAAGGATGACGCCTCATCACGCGCTTGGGGAGATTCTTTGATGTCACGAGAGATGTCAAACAGTAACAGTGGCGGTCGGTGGACCAAAATTTGGGTGGGGCTTAGATTGCTTCCAGTTCTTTACCACCAAATAGCAAGCAATACGATTTAAACAGTGATGATTTTTCTATACTCACGGTGAGCCACGGCAGTTTGAGAACCATTCGAACGAGAAGAGTTTCCTTTGTTTTCCATTTCTTTGTTCTTAGTTAAATTCTTTGTTGATGGTGGGGGCGAAGCCGATTCACCTCCAAATTTTCTCTAATTAGTTTTCATGTGATGAAAAAGTTGCCTTAAAAGTAGTTCGACCTGATTTATAACTGTTACATCTCAGCGGCACAAACACAAACATGCACGCACAGCACTTCAAACATAATACTTCTATGAGCAGGATTAGGCCGTGTAGTCGAGAAAGTTGAAGGCACCCAACAAAGAACCAATGAGCGCATAGGTATCTATGTCAGGGGGAGGGGGGGGGGAAGTGAGCGTGAGCCCTCGGTACAGTATTATTTTCCCCCAATCTTCTACCTTTTTACATTAAGCTGGGTTAATATAGTTGTAAGCGGTGACAACAGTGATTGGATAAGCGAGGAAGCCGCCAAGTCGATCACTCTGTGTTCATTGCGTGCAGTCATAACTGGTTCAACTGCTTATTTCTTACCTTTGGGGTAGAGTTGGGGGTGGTGTGTGGGAAGGGGATAGGGGCTCAAGCCCGTGAGCCCTTCACTACCCACCGCCACTGAGCAGTAATAATATACATGTAATCTTTTTGTAGTTGGATTTTAATGCTACTGTAGCATCATGTCGGGCAGACCATCGAGTTCCTGACAATGATTTGGGTGTAGGGCCATCGATACATTTTACAAACAAGCCCCAACGATGTGTGCAGCTTGAAAGGAAGTTGTACAATGCTTGGACGAATCCGAAAAATGATGCTGCGTCTACGCAACAATCAGCTGCACAAACGCCAACCAGATTTAGAGAATGAGCCGAGCAGGGGACAAAAGAAGCCTTGGGATTCCTCTCTTTGATACGGGCTTGTACACCACTGAGGCGTCCAGCCATGTTTCTAGCATTATCGTAGCTTTGACCACGGCAGTTTCGAAGCTCCAGTCCAAATTTGTCCAAAGCTGTCAAAATTTCTGACGTGAGAGACTCTGCATAGCGCCTAGGCGTAGTCAAAAGACAACTTCGGAAAACACATCAGCAGCAGCCACAACAACAGCAACAGTGGTAGCATCAACATCCTTCTCATCAAAATCAACAACAACAACAACTGCAAAAACAAGAGCAATACAAACAACAAACAAAAACAACAATTCAACAAGAGAACAAATTTTTTGTTGTTGTCGAAAACATTTTTTTAAACATCGTGTTTGCAAGCGCGGGGCCCCCTGAGGCGCCGGGCCCTAGGCTACAGCCTAAACAGCCTTACGGGTAACGCGGCCCTGCCAACAGCCACTAAATGTTGTGACATCATGACGTCATGTCTAAGAAATCTCCATGCCAAATTGCAAGTGGATTGGTGAAACCGTCATAGAGATAAAAGTTATAACGTGTACAGTCAAGTGTGGTGTTCTTGTGTACTTTGTCTAAGACAAATCCGAGGAATACTGCTGATTTGCAACCTTTTCACACTATCCGAGTAGGTCAAGGTCTACAGTGAAAACTAAAAGCCAACCGGGTAACTTGTCATCTACTTACCTGTCATAACCATACCCCCCCCCCCCCCCCCCTTCGAAAAATGCTTTGGAACATTTCTCATTCGTTATCAGTCCAACAGTCATGAAAGTCGGCATACCTACTTTCCTCAACATCAGGCACATTTTGCATGATTTTCAGTTTACTAAATGAATAGTTGTAATGTTTACGAATTTTTTTAATTTGTGTATTTATATTATTTATGCTATTATAAGCCCTCCACTAACATTTTTTAAAAACTTTGCAGTATATTTACATATGGATGGGACAAAATGTGTATTTGATGGTAGTAAACAAAACACATGGTAAAATTTGAAGTATGTCTCACAAACCACATAGGAGATTTGTTATTAGTAACTTCAAATGCAGAAAATTTGGGTTTTGAGAAAATAAGCTTTTTTACAAAAGTGCACTTACCTTCTAATGTCATGATGTTTCCAGCCTGAAATTTTTTTTAACGAGCCAGCAGCATAGCTTGGACCACTCTCAAGTTCTTCCAACTCCCTCTCCCTTCTAGTGCCATCTGCCTCAAAGACCTTCTCTTAGACAGTTTCTCCCCCTCATACCATTGACTGTAAGCGATCTGCATTGCTGCCCTTTGTGAACTGGTACACTCTCTCTGTCCATACAGCTCCCTCACAATACATATTGCTACCTTTTGGGCCATGGTTGAACTCCGCAATGGCCACCAGCATAGAAAACTTTACTTTCTAGGAAGAGGCAAACTTAGCCTTCGAGCAATTGCTCCATAAGACGCTGTGAAGACTTTAATTAGTATTTTGAGTGGCATGATCCTGGCAGCGAAGTAGCAGGTCAGTACCAGACAGTCTGTCACATACCGGCTTTACTTTAAATGACCATGCAGAAGACTAATCAAGTCTGGTCTTCACCATTTTGCGATGAGGGCCTGGAGTTTCACCTTTTGCTATGGCTGCCCTATAATAGCACCAGGATGCATCGCCGGGTAGACAGTGGTCGTGCATATGTGCTATTCATCCGTGGAGTAGCCATGATGAATTGAAGTCAATATAATGGCTGTCTTCATCTCTTTCACAGTGTATCTACATCTAGATCTACCACTTACTGCTCGGTCATGATACTTCTGCTGTTCGTCTATGGCTTCTTTGGTGAGCCCCCCATTCCCTTGCTCCCCCCCCCCCAGCCGAATACCCCTCTTCCAGTATGTAGTACTCACAGAACTAAGCCCTCTGGAACCCTCATTCACCTTCTCGCCGTGCCATCGCTTCTCTCTAGCAACACGAAGTTGATGCAAACGAGACCGCTTTCCCTTTTCCCCCATTCGGATTGCAAAAGAAGGCAAAGAGTTTTATACTATACCAGCCATATCACAGCACACAACAAGTACACTTCCAAACACAAAGCCCCACATCACAGCACAAAACATGACACTTTCAAAAACAAAACACCGAATCACAGCATAAAACACAGTTGTGAATAAATCGAGAATAAGTGAAGAAAATCGCTCTTGCAAACACAACAGTCAGTCAAAACAAAGAAGGCGTGCACTGTTTACATCGGAACTAACCCCTGAACCTCCTGGTTACAGAACAAGCAGTGGTGAGCGGCCGGCGGCGGAAGCCGACCAATGAACCACGCGGCCCCGTATGAGCGGTGCGTGATCACTCCATATAAGGAAACGTAGTTCATGTACTACAGGCGTTCTTTCATTGCATTTTTTGGCAGTCTTTATGAATGGAGATTTTTAGGTGGAAAATAACAACACAGAAGGTCAAGGCAGAAAGTAATGTGAAGAGGAGAAGACGACCTATGTATCGATACCAGATTTCACATTGTACTGTTCCCGTTGAATTATAAGCGGCCGCGTTTTTTTGGTGTAATTCTGCAACATTTGCATAATTTTGGATTCCCCACGTTTTTTCACGTGCTTTTCCTTTACCGGCGTAACCCAGGCCTATTTTAGCCATACTTTTAGAGCAAACTCTCAATTTTGTGATTGCCTGTCTGTCTGTAGGTTGCATTTTCACGAACTTATAGATAGATTTAGGCTCTCGAATGTATTTCCCAAGATGAGAAAGTGGATATAGAATAATATGATTGCATAAACAGAAAATCATAAAATTGAAGGAAATATTCGATTCTATTTGCCGACTTGGCCTTAACTTTTCTCGGCAAGTCAGCATGCAGTTGAAAACCATGGTGATCTATGCAAAATAATAGGTAATAATGCCGTATCAATTTGAACAGTACCGTAGGAAAATGGATCAGGGAGGTTGAAGGTGGGAGATCAAAGATGAAGGGCGCACTGGAAGGCTCCCAGTTGTCATTTGAGGCAGCGACAGTGTAGAGAGAACCAAAGCTGCTTAAGAGGAAGATACGAAAAGATCAGGCAGGGAAATAAGAGAGATAATTGGTCTTTCCAGTGCAATAATAGTTAATCGAACATTGACCAACGATCTTGGCAAGAAAGAAAGTCTTGAAGAAGGCATCACCCTGCATGATGACAACGCGCCTGTGCACAAATCCAAAGTTGTGAACGAGTTTTTCGAAGGCTACTCGTAAGAATAATAGGAGCACCCGTCCCATTCGCCTGATCTCCCCCCATGCGACTTCTACCTCTTCCCCAAGATGAAAATAAAGCAGCGAGGTCAACGATTTGAAGACAAGGACCAGATTCAAGAGGCTATGATGAGTAACGGTGTACACAGAGTAGAGTCATCTTTCTGGAGCTTGCCCCAAGCCTCTCAACTCCCCTTTTGGGGAGAGCAAGGGGAGAGGAAAGTCAGCGACAGAGTGAAGGCCTCTCCCTTCCCCGACGTCCCCTATGAAGGGGTGAGATCTTCACTTTTTTTAATCAGTGTTCGTGATTGTTATTACATTTTCTCAATGTAAAAAGTAAAAAGTAAAAAGGAGGTGTCTCCCAAGACCAGGATCCTGGTCCACGGAGACACTTAGTCTAGGGGGACCGTGAAAATGTTCATATGAAAATGCCAGAGCTAACAACCACACCTTTCAAAAGAAATACAAAGCTTGGAGATTGGATCAGCATTAACTACAGCGAAGATAGATTATTATTGTAAAAACAACCAATCCAATGCACTGTACCCGAAAACAAATACCTTTATAATGAACCGCACGTCCACCGACATCAGACTTTTGTAAAAGATACGAAATTTTTTTGGACTTTTACTCATCCATTAAACAAATTGTAATGACCTCGTACGCATCAAACAGACATTCAAAGCACCTCAAACCTTGCGTGGCAGTTTGTCCTAGGAGTAGGTCAGAGCTATGGTTCTGTGTATTTTTCACCATCTACAAACGACTTTTGTCTAAGCATCCCACGATTGGTCGACTAGGAAGGGGAGGGGAAGGACAACGCTTGTGCGTA